TGAAGTGGTCACTGATCTTAAGAACTTTCTGATAATGTCTATTGACATTGTGAAAGCAAGCAATATAGTCTTCAATAGGTCAAAATAGTAGACTTTCCTAAAAGTTACAGGGTGTCTTTGATTCCCCTTTGGTCATCTTTCTCAGTGTTTTCCCACATGAGCATCTTTTTTCTGGCACCATAATCAACAATATTCTTCATAAGCTTTGGCCTGGGGCTTAAGAGGAAGGGCCTTATCTTTTTTGAAGGGACAGTCAACAGGTGGGATCTTCCGTACCAACTGAGATCTATTTGTCCTTCAATGGGCCTATAACATTCACCTGCCAATTAGCTTTTAAATCCTCTAACATAAAGAAGGGGCTTCTGAGACTTGGGATGCAGGGATGCAGCTCAGAATCACAAGTGGCCTCCTTTATATTCTGCATCATTGTTAAGGCTTACTCAACAAATATCTGTGCCCATCAAAAAACAAAGTAAAATAAAAGTGCATGCAAGAAATTTAAAGGGATAAAAGCCCCATTGTGGAAACAATGGAAAGAATAGTATGGAGCAATTTAGGTATGCCACAAACCTCTGTCCCTTAGGAGGGGTGCCCTATAGCTCACTCCAGTGCATATTGATATTTGGGGGGGGAGGTTTAAGTTTATTTAATGATTCTTGACTTATAATTGTAAAGCACTTAAAGAATCTGAGTGAGGGCCAGCATATGCAGAGGTCAAGAAGTTTCTTTATGACTTAGTGAAAGGTTAGCATTGGCTTTCCCAAGTCATCCTCTTAGACTGGAAGTGGACCAGCCGTGTCTCTTGTTCATCCCAAAGAAAAGTCAGATAGGATCTCAGAACCAGTATCGGGAGTTTTCAGAATGTTATCACAACCTTTATATTTTCTTCGTTAATAGTTTCAGAGAGATGATAATAGTCACCAGTGAGGCTTCTTGTTTTTTGCTTTTTTATTTTTTTCTGCTAATTTTGCAGCATCTTCCTTTCAGATCAATGTTAGCATATCCCTTGTTAAGCAAGTTTATATTCTATCTAAACTGACTCCTTTTATGGGCATGACAAACTCATTGGCTGATTTGAATGAAAAAAGGGGGCTGAACATTTAGAAAGAAGACAAAGAACAGACATTTTTATTTTGACTTTATATAAACATTGGTGACTAATTTTTAACACACATAAAATCACTAGTGTTGAAAATAACTATTAATTACAATACAATACTATAACTTTGATATGATGATTTGACATGTCATTTTTTAGTTCTAAAATTTCATTCTTTTTATAAAATTCTTATTGAATTTATTGGGGTGATAGTGGTTAATAAAATTATATAGATTTCAAATATACATTCTATAATATATCATCTGTATATTGTACTGTGTGCTCATACCCTAAGTCCATTCACCTTCCATCAACATTTATGCCCCCTTTACCCTCTTCTACCACCACCTCTCTTTCCCTCTGGCCATCACCATACTGTTGCGTATATATAAGTTTGCGATTTTTTGCTTAATCTCTTCACATTTTTCACCTAAATGCCCCAACCTCCCTCTCCTCTGACAGCAATCAGTCTGTGCTCTGTATCAATGAGTCTATTTTGTTCATTAGATTCCACATTTACATAAAATCATATGACAGTTGTCTTTCTCTGACTAGCTTATTTCATTTAACATAACAATCACCAGGTCCATCCATGCTGTCGTGAAGGGTAAGATTTCCTCCTTTCTCACTACCAGCTAGTATTCCATTGTATAAATGTACCACTACTTTTTTATCCACTCATCTCCTGATGGACACTTGGGCTGCTTCCAGATCTTGGTTATCATAAATAACACTGAAATGAACATAACGGTGCGTATATTCTTTGGAATTGGTGTTTTGGGGTTTGTTTTTTTTTTTTGATATATTTCTGAAAGTGGAATCACTGAGGCAGTCCATTTATTTAATTTTTTGCGGAAATTCCACACTGTTTTCCACAATGGCTGGACCAACCTGCATCCCTTTTATCCACATCCTCTCCAACACTTGTTGTTTGTTAATTTTTTAATGATAGTCATTCTGACAAGTGTGAGGTGATATCTCATTGTGGTTTTATTTTGCATTTCTCTGATGATTAGTGACATTGAACATCTTTTCATGTCTATTGGCCAGGTGTGGGTCCTCTTTGGAGAACTGTTTGCCCATTTTTTAATGGGATTGTTTGGTTTTTTGATGTTGAGTTTTTGAAGTTTTAAAATAAATTTTTAATATTAACCTCTTATTAGATGTATCATTGGTGAATATGTTCTTCCATTTTAGTGAGTTGTCTTTCCATTTTGTTGATGGTTTCCTTTGTGGTACAAAAACTTTTTAGTTTGATACAATCCCATTTCTTTATTTTTCTTTTGTTTCACTTACCCAAGGAGATATATGCAAAAAAAATTGCTATGAAAAATGCCCGAGATTTTACTGCCAACATTTTCATCTAAAATTTTTATGGTTTTGAGTCTTACATTTAAGTCTTTAATCCATTTTTTACTTTATTCTTGTTTATGGCATAAGAAGGTATAGTCTAGTTTAATCTTTTTGCATGTATCTGTTTAATTTTCCCTATATCATTTATTGAAAAGACTGTCTTTATCCATTGTATATTCTTGCCTTCTTTGTCAAATATTAATTGGCCATAAAGGTGTAAGTTTATTCCTGCATTATCTAGTCTGTTCAACATACTTCTATGTCTGCTTTATGCTAGTACCATGCTGTTTGGATGATATGGCACATAGTATTCTTTGATAAGAGGTAGTGTGATTCCTCCAACTTTGTTTTTCCTTCTTAAGATTGCTGTGGCTATTCAGGGTCTTTTGTGGTTTCATATAAATATTTGGAATATTTAGGAATTGCACTGAATCTATAGATTGCTTTGGGTAGTATGGACATTATAATGATGCTAATTTTTCCTATCCATGAACATACTATATGCTTCCACTTATTTGTATCATTTTCAATTTCTTTCTTCCATGTCTTCTAATTTTCTGAGTACAGGTCTTTTACATTTATGGTTAAATTTATTCCAAGGTATTGTCTCTGGTGCAATTATAAATAGGATTGTTTTCTTAGTTTTTTTCCTGATAGTTTATTTTTGGTGTATAAAAATATAACTGACTTCAGATATGTTTTGTATCCTGCTACTTTATTGAATTCATTTATCAGTTCTGTTTTTTTGCTAGGATTTTTAGGGTTTTATATATATAGTATCATGTCATCTGCCAATAATGTCAACTTTACTTCTTCCTTTCCAATCTGGATCCTTTTTACTTCTTCTTATTTGGCTTTCAGTACTATGTTGCATAGGAGTTGTGTAAGTCTTGTTTCTAACCTTAAAGGAAATGCTTTTAGTTTCTGTCTATTGAGTATGATGTTGTCTGTGGATTTTTCATATATGGCCTTTATTATGTTGAGATATGTTCCCTCTATTCTCACTTTGCTGAGAATTTTTTATTATAAATGGGGGCTGAATTTTATCAAATGCTTTTTGTGCATTAATATTATCATGTGATTTTTATCCTTTTTAAATGTGATGTATTACATTTATTGATTGGCAGATAATATACCAACCTTGCATGCCTGGAATAAATCCTGCTTGATCACAGTGTACGGTCTTTTTAATGTATTGCTAAATCCAGGTTGCTAATATTTTGTTGAGGATTTTAGCATCTATCTTTATCAGGGATATTGGATTATAATTTTCTTTCTTTGTAGTGCCTTTATCTGGTTTTCGAATTAGGATAAGGGTGGCCTTGTAAAAAGAGCTTGGGAGTCATCCTTCTTCTTGAATTTTTTGAAATAGTTTGAGAAGGATAAGTGTTAGTTCTTCTTTGAGTGTTCAGTAAAATTAACCTGTGAAGCCATCCTGTGTAAGACTTTTGTTTGTGGGTTTTTTTAAAAAAATACTATTATTGTTATTACTTCAATTTAACTAGTTGTAATCGGCCTATTCAGATTTTTTATTTTTTTATTCAGTTTTGAAGATTGTATAATTCTAGGAATTTATCCATCTCATCCATATTGTCCAGTTTGTTGGCATATAGCTATTCATAATATTTTCTTGCAATCTGTTGTATTTCTGTGGTGTCAGTTTTTACTTCTCTTTTATTTCTGAGTTTATTTATTTATGTGTTCTTTTTTTCTTGATGAGTCTGATTTATCTTTTCAAAAAGAACAGCCTTTATTTCATTTTTGCTTGTTTGTATAATCTTCCATGCTTTAATTTAAAAAATCAAGATCACTGAAAGATTAGACTTGTAATTAGTTTTGGGGGGCTATTTCTTTGTTTGTTAAAAGTGTATCTTCATCTCTCAGGGGTGTGGGATGTTTGCATGAATTCTATTATGCATGTGAATGTTAATTACAGAATGTAGAATGAACTCAGCTGTTGCAGGTTGATAATTCTAAGTTTCAAGAAAGGAATTGTTGAGTTATGTGAGAACCAGAAGATTTCGGGCCAAGCTGACTATTACTGCTTGATATAGAATAAGAAAGGAAGGGAGACATGGAAATGTATACTCCACTTGTGTCTGAGAAGAAATGGCTCCAGGAACCCTGAATGCTCAGTGTTAACTCCGTGTTGTTTGGGGTATTTTCAATATGTGCAATGGGTAGCTTTTCAGGGGTGGCCACCCAGTGGTAGAGGACCTGGCACCCTCTGGTAACATTTCCCTTTTCACTGTTCTTGGGACTTCTCTAGGAGGTTCTAATTCAAAGGAAGCTTTTACTTTGAAAGCATCAAAAGTCATTTTACTCTATAGATACTTCGAGTAAAGGGCTTATTTACTCAGCTTCACTGCTCTTAAACCTCTCAATGTGTTTTTGCTGGTAGAATTTATGTGCATGGGAGAAAAATTATTTGTAGTTGTGTGGTTTTTATTAGAAGATTTATTTATGCTCATTCAACAAATATACACTAAGCACTCACTAGATGCCAGGGGTACCTGAGCAAACTGCCTGTTTCAGACCTTGTGCAAAGTCTTGGCTCCTCAGGGATCAGAGTCTTGCACTTTTGGCTCTGGGTCGAACCACAGACACAGGCAGTGCTGGCAGCCATGTTCTTGTCATAGCGGAGGCCCTCCGGGGGATGGTTCTTTGTGGAGCTTCCTTGGCGGAGGCTTTCTTGGTGGAATCTCTAAGTATAGCGGTACAAGCCAAGGTCTCCTGCTGAGTGATATAGCCTAGAGAAAAGAAAAGAGAGAAACTTTAAGGTCAACAGTTTTACAAAAGAAACAAGCAAACAACACTGTAAATATTCACAGATTCACAAAATTTCTTCTACTTTGTAGGGTGAAAACAATTGTGTTTAGCACACCCAGATTTTTATGGTTTTTTGAAGAAAGAAAGTATATTTCTTTTTTTGCATTTATCATTCAGTAAATTAATAAATACATAGTCATCGTTTAACATGACAGATCATTTGGAGAGGGACTTGAGCCATGAAGAATCTTCATGTGAATTGCTTACTGGTATCAAAACTTTCTTCAGACCAGAAGCAGATATATTCAGTCTCTCTGTGTTGTTAAAGTGCGGTCTACAGATCACCTACACAATTATCTGACTAAGACCACTTTTAATGATGCTTTTTAAAAATGCAGATATCTGATTCCACTCCGAAAAACTTTGAATCAGAAACTCAAAACTTTAGGCCTGGAAATCTATACTTTAATAACATACACAGGTGGATTTTATGTGCACTAAACATTGACTATTCTGCTTCTAAGTTCATTGGCTTCTAAGCCATTTTATTCTGCAAACAAAGCTACCAGATGATGCTTCTGCAACACTTCAATCATTGGGACCAGCTGAATCCTGGCTCTGCCATTTACTAGATACATGACCTTGGTCAAGTTATTTAACTTAATCCATGTCTCAATTCTCTCTTATGTAAAATGTGGGTTATAAAGGCATCTACCATGTAGACACATTTGCTTTTTAATATGATGATACAAGCAAAGTACTTAGAATAGCAGCTGACACCTACAAAGACTTAATAAGAGATAACTACTGTGATTGTTTTTGTTATTAAATCACTTGCAGAAAACATATTTTCCTTTTGTTCAAATACGGAAACAACAGTTAAGTGGATGTGCTAGTTCCAAGTGAGTAGTTTAGGAAAAAAAATAATAAATAAATATAGCTCCATGGAAGTTGGGAGAAAAGTATAATAGAGAGGAGCTGAAGACCGAAAACATTTTTTTAGAAGAAAAGAGATTTAACAACAATTGTATCTTTCTATCGGTTGTTGCTTATGACCCATGAAAGTCTTTCAGAACCACTATTTCATTTTTGCTTCCTAAAATCCCATGAGGTTCATAGAAGAGAGATAGTGGATCATGGGAACAAAAATACATGATCTTTGCAGGTGATGGTCCTACCTGACATTTACTATCTGTGTAATCTTGATCAGGTTATATGACCTGCTTGAGCTACGCCTCCCACAACTGTAATCTGGGGAGAAATAAGAAAGTACACGTACAGCTCCAAGCACAATATCTGGAACACGGTAAATGCTCAACAATACAAATATTCCTGTTGTGAGTAAACTACATCTCTGAGTTTATGCTATCAGCAAGGGGCCGAGCTGCGGTTTGAGCTTAGACCATCTGCTTGAGGCCATGAATGTTCCTACTACATCAGGTTCTTGTAAATCTCAGAGTTGTTGATATCTTACAACAATCCACCCTCCAATTTCTTTAAACCCTCTTAATTTACCCATAAAACCTTTCTTTCTGTTATAGGGGGTAATTATTTTTAAACTTGGCCTGCCAACCACATTCATGAAACAGTTGGCAGAGGCCATTGTACTTGAATTTTTATCAGGAAATGGCTTCTGGCTGCAGTGCACAAGCCCCTTCCTGAAGTGCTTGATCCAGGTAAGGTAGTTAAACTCACCAAGTAGCTGCTGGTGCTGAAGGCTGTGAATATAACGGGTCTGCAGGGCCTCCCACTGGGGCCTGGAGTTGTAAATCCTCATGATGCTGTAAAAATAGCGCTGCTGACCTCGAGTTAGGTCCTGTCAGAGCACAGCAGGTGATTTTGATGAGTTGGTGGAGTTGATGGCGTTAAGAGTGTCATGTATTCCAAGCTGACTTCCCCTGAAGTAAGATGCTTCTCTCTCTTTCTCTTTCTTGCCTTCTCTCTCCATATATAATATATACACTATATTGTGTATGTGTATACCTCTATACATACACAAAATATATATATATGACAATTGGAAAACAGCAATTGGGTAGTTGCCTTCCTCAATACACTTAAACAATCTTTCACTGGCCTATGTAAAGGTAAAATGTCTAAATAAAAGATTCTAGGTAAGTAGGTGAAAGTATTCGGCTGAGGGAGATCCAAGGACTTTTTAGCTTTTATTGACCTGTTAGAGTCCTTGTTGAGGAAGGCAGGCTGTAAGAATCTACTCAGGTCCTGAATATAACAGGCCTCTGGGTGGGTAAAAGAGAAATTTCCACTGAAAGTTGCCAGTAGGCAAGGAAGGTAGGTAGATGAACAGATGGGTAATGTGTAAGGGTTCACCAGGAGGAAAATAACCTGCCTGCGCAGTTAAGGAAACTCCCTAAATAAGATGATCAACACATCTAGACTAAGGGGTGAAGAGGAAGTCCCTAAAGGGACTAGAATACTGGCTCTAATAGGCATCACATGGTACTTGCTTTAAATGCAAATTCTCAGGCGCTACCCCAGGCCTACGCAATCAACAACCTGGGTGGGGGTCAGCACTCTGGGCTTTAAGAAGTCCTCCAGGTGATTCTGATACAGGTACACTAGGACTGGAGAGCCACAGAGCAGAAGGAAAAAAAGGGCTAATTAGAGATAGAAAGTGGTACAATTTTTCTTATGAGGCACAACATATCTGGATATATTGGGAAGGAGATTTTTTTTTTCCTTTACCCAGAATATGGAGTCTGAGCCGGGAAAAGCTGTAGCATTAGACAGGGGAAGATCATGGAAACCTTTTATGCCATGGTAAGAATGTAAAGATTACCCTTTTTTATGAGGCACCACTGAAGGTCTTTATTTAAAGCAGCGGTTCTCAACAGCTGTGATTTTGACCCTCAAGACACATTTGGCAATGTCTGGGGACATTTTTAGTTGTCACGAATGGTGAGAGGGAGGAGGGATGCTACTGGTTTTTGGCAGGCAGAGGCCAAGGATGCTGCTGAACATCCTACAATGCATGAGACAGCATCCAGTTCTTACAACAAAGAATTATCCAGCCCAAAATGTTACACATTTAGGCTGACCAGATTTGTATTCTAGAAAGATCGTGGAGAATGAGTTTACAGGAAGATGGGCCATCGGTGTGGAGACCATTTAGAAGGCTCTCATCTATGCTAGGGAGAAACAAAAAGGGCCTGCGCTTCCAGCCAGAGAAAGACAAATACCATATGACTTCACTTGCATGCGGAATCTAATGAACAAAATAAACTGACACAAAATAGAAACAGAGGCTTGGACACAGAGAACAGACTGACAGCTGTCAGAGGGGAAAAGGAAGATGGGGCTGGATGAAAGAAGGTGAAGGTGAGGCAGGGCGGCGGGAAACTAGGGAAATTCCTCGACAAGTGGAATAAGGGAAGCTGAGACAAAATAATTAAACAAGGCCTAACAATTTGAGCAATTTACAGCCAGCTAATGAATCATGAGGTTTTATCTCCCTTAACCAAGGACTCTTAGGAGCAAATGGTTTACACATTCCAGACTGTCCCAGGGCAGAACAGCCTCGGTCCTGGTCCCTTCTCAGTGATGCTTTTCAAAAATAAAACTAACCAAAAAATTAACCCAAACCCCTCTATACACACATTTTGATGAATCAACATGTTGAAGGACACACCCAGAAAGCTAATGAATATTCTGTTAAGGCCCTCCCCTGCGATCTCCCCTAAAATTCCAGCTGCTTCCAAAGAAAGATAAAAAGCCTCAAGACAAAGAATCCACATCATACTTTCCCTCCCTGGAGCACCCAGCACCTTTCTCTTACCTCATTTCTTCCCCCATGGGCCTGTATCTCCCACTCTAAGGGATCCAAGGAGACTTGCAACCAGGGGAGAAATGGGCCGTGGCAGCTCACCTGGCTTACTCCCTGAACCTGTCTCTAAGGACCCCTTTTTCTCTGACTTCCCAGGAAGCTCACTTCTTTTACTGTGACTTTGATTTCTTAGAGATCCAAAGCAGCACCACCTAGTCTCTCTCCTGTTTCTTTTTCTACCTTAAGCCCTTCCTGTTTCACTGTCCCCAGCTTCAATAAACATACTCTAAAAATAAACTGGACTAATCTTGTGAAATCTTTCCTACACAAAGTCAAGAACCCACACAATACTACTGGGCTCAAGGAAGACCCACTCTGGCCCAGACCCTGCCTGGTAACAAAGGGATTAGCCAAAGAACATATACATATAACCCATAGACACGGACAGCAGTGCGGTGATGGCCAGAGGGAAGGGGGGAGTGGGGACTGGATGGAGGTGAGCAAAGTTGGGGGGGCACGGGGGGAATGGGGACTATGTAATACTGCCAACAATAAAAATAAAGTTAAAAAAGGGGGTCTGGACTTCAATTGCTATTGTATATAGCTAATATTTCTTACGTGTTAATTATATGCAAATAGGGAAACTGAGACAGTGGTATCAACATTCTGGAAAAATAAAGATAAAATAAGTTTATCCCAAGCCAAAAAATTCAAAACAATGACAGAATTTTAAAACTACTTGATAACCATGTAATAAATCTAAACTTAAAATAATTATTTATAAAAGTGACTTTTATCTGTTAGAAGTTTTGTTTGGAGTTGAAATACATGAGCCAGTTTTGTTTTGTTTTTTTTAAGTCTAGAGATCTTAAATTTACTCCAAAAATATATACAGAGTGAAAACAGCAAGCCAAGTACTTCACAATTTGAGACAACATTTCAGCTTAACAGTTTTTGAATTACATGTTTTAAAAGATAATATACTTGAAGAAAATGATTTCCTAATTAAGCCCTTTCAAATGACTGACAAAAATATAATGTGAAAATTCCAAGCCAATTTCAAGAGCAGAGCTCCAAAATGCAACGGTAGTTTCCATTATGTAAGATAAAACCATAAAAGTTATGGTTTTATAGAATAAGAACAAAAAGACTACTTCTTTTCCTTAGTAGAACTGTCAACTTCCAAAATAAAGAGTAACAGTAACATTTCTAATAATTTGTATTCAGTTACTTATTCCTCCTTGAGGGGATGGAGGAGAACTGAAATTTTTACAAACAGTATTTATGAGAATGACGTTAACTAATTTTGACTGAAAGGAGCTAACAGCTCCGTAGCAGGGAGCCTGAGTGCGGTCAGTCATCGAGTTGCCCATCATTGGTGTGGGCGCAGGGTTAGATCATCACACTCATTTACTCTCTCACACACGCTGTCACCGAGCGAGCACGGAGGGCCTGCACTGGGCCCAATGTTTTCACTAATGTTGGGTAAACAAAGACAGGAAAGTTCCTCAAGCGTTGAAGGAAACACAGACAAGGTCTCTTCATCTGTGAATAATATGCTGTACCTTCAGTAATGACCTGTCAGCAGAGGGAGGGACTCGAATGCAAGGAATCTGCAGAATATTCTGAAGCTTTTGTTGTCTTTTCTGTTTTTCTCCCATAATTTATCCTGTACCTCCAAGGAACAACAAAGCATAGCATAAAATTGCATTTTGTTCAACAAATTTTGGGAAGGCACCTAAGTAAATAAGTAAGCAAGTAAATAAACAAATAAATAAATGTGATTTATTCAAGGAATAAAACATTTTCTCATGTTTCTAAGTAAGTGGGCCCCACCACACTGCTTTGTTCTGCGCTTTCCCGTCCTCATCCTTTTTTGATGGGACGAATAAGGCAGCGCCCTGTCTCTCTGCTTCACACTGTGGTTGGAAGGCATGGGTTGTAGGGCCATACCAGGACACAACAGTTGCTACTTGAAAATTTTTAACAATACTTACTATCTTCTCTAATTCTAAAATGAATAGGTATCATTATGGAAACCCCCCAAAAAATTAAAAAGTGAATAAAATAACTGCAACCATAATCTAACTTTCCATAACTATTGTTAGCATTTGATTGATTTCTTTTTATTAATTTTTCTGTGTACATTGTGTGTGATTTTAGAGAAGGGAGATCATAGTCTACATATTGTATACTTTTCCAGAGCATTAAATATCCTTTGAAATATGATTTTTAATAGCAGTATAGTATATTTTTACATCGTTCTCCATTTCTTACACATTTAGATTTGCAATTTTATAGCTTCATACCAAAAAGCAACTATTAACTCTCGCAACATTTTTTGCCACTTGCCTGACAAAGATACAAAATGAAGTCATACCTGCTTATGAGTAAGTCTTCTTTCCATGTAATTAAAGATTTAGGATCTGAGATGTATATAATAATTAAAACATTAACAGTTAACATGCAAAGAAGGATAAGTTTGTGAGCCACAGAATGGAAACCCCAAGCCTTTTCCCCTCTATTCACAATTTTGCTCTTGGCATCAGCGCTTATGTTATCAGGCTGTTGGATGGACTGAGACTGTGAACAGAGAACGCTCTCACTTTATACCGGTTCCCTTTCTCCTCTATTCTATGCTCACGCACACGTATGCATACACGCGCACACACGAACGTACACTAAGAAATATTTTAACATGTGAACTCAGTACATGGTTCTGAGTTCACAGAGCTCAGGCTCAGATATTCCAAAGGAGAAATATGTTAGGGAAATGTCAGTCAACATTTCCATGTACCCTGTTTTCATGATATGAACTTATAAAGTATAAATATTTAATACTGTTTTCCTTCAACATGCACTCCAGAAACCATACCGACCAAGATATACTCTTTTAATGTCTCTGTAACAGAAGGTTATACTCAAACCTGTACTCAGATCATCTCAATATCCCTTCTCCCATTTTCCAGATCTGTAGTGCTGAGCATAAATATTCTTTAAAGCTGGAAAGATTTCTTCTCTCCTTAAATAACATAAGAAAGTGATATCTCTCATGGCAACAATTTATATGTGCTGAGAAAATCTATCTTACCTATTCAAGTGGCCTGTACCTAATACGGTCTTATTAAAATGCTTGTGAAGATAATTTGGGAGGAAAAACTACAAAATAACTTATATGAAACAAAAAGCCATGTTTGCTTAAAAGAAACTTACCCTATATTGTAGTATTTTCCTTTTTAAAAGCTTGCATTCATATTCCATGAATTTTTTTGCATGGTCTCCTCTTGCAGTGGTGGGGGTGAAAATTCAATCTGTTGATAAGCTGATATCCAAGCAACATCATGTGATTAAACAAAGAGCTGGGAGAATTTGGCCTCATGCCTTTTCCTGCTTCTGGACTGCATTCAACTGCACAGTTTAATCTTTTTTATTTCTTCCAGATTGTATGCAATCAACTGTCAGCTTCTAAATTTATCATATCTGTGTTATGTACAGACATAAGAGAGGAAAGTACATGGAAATAGAGAGGCTGAGTGTTAAAGGTAAAATAATCCATTGGGACAACAGGCCATTACATGAATAGTTCCCAGATTTGGAGTCAGTAGCCCCCATCCCCATTGCTCAGAATGATGAAAGAACCTAAATATAAAGGTACAGGCATCAATTTGACTGTGATAAAACTGTGGGATTGTAACATAGTTCAAGATAATGTTCTTTTCTTAATTTTGCGGAGTATGATATTTTCCATATTTAGTCTTGGATAGAGGTTACATATGATGATAATGAACCTGTGGCACAAGGTTCTTGCCACACTGATGTCATCGCATACGTCTCACGTTTTAACCTGATTCTTGAGAGCAATCTTATCCCTTCTTCAGAGCTTGCCTTATTACTACAGACTTCCTTTCTTTCTTGAGAATCCTCTGTCTGCATGCTAGCTTTATCTGCAAAGATGAAAAGTTCTTAGAGAAAACAGAAGAAAAATATCAAAAGAAAACCACAAATTAAAAATTCGTGGAAGGCTTAAAGGAAGGAAAACACAGGGCAATAAGAGTTAGGAATTGTATAGCTTAAAGGAGAAAGAAAGGACTCAACAGATACACACAGTTTGCCTTTTTTCAATTATTTAAATGCAAATCTTCTGGGGGAATAACATAGCACAAACAAGAGTCTATAAATGCCAGCGAATACCAGAAAACCTCTCACTGGATCTGGGAATTGGGTGAGTCTCTATTTAGAGACAAAGCAAAGTTGAATGCAGAGTTGATGTTCTTCGTTGAATGTTTTTCCAGGATATGATGAAATGCCTTCTGGAGCATACCACATAAGCTGACTGTTGCCCACACATGCTGACTCATAACACTGTGCATTATTAGTCCCGCCAGATTGGAAAAACAGAAACAGATCTAGGTGTTCCCCACAGACAGGGAACTGGATATAAGGACTCTGTTACAAAAGTATCAGAATGGGCTAGAGGAGCAAAACAAGAAAGGTTAGCTGATCCAAAGACTGGCAATTACACTCAAAGGTGATCGCACCTAGGGCTGAAAGACAAAAGGGAGAATAATTTCACCCAGAGTCCACAAACACTTGCACCTGAGGCTGCTTCCACTGGGACACTGCTGCCCGAGCAGCACCTCAGGACCCGCCCCCAGGCACCAGCGGAGTTCTTTCCAGATCTGCTCACGTTACCATTGTGACACCACTGTCACGGCCCTGCTGCTGCTGTTGCTGATGTGCTTGCTGCTATTGCTGCTGCCCCCAGCTGCAAGCAGAAACCACGAAAATGGCGTCTCTTTGAATCCAAGTTTCCATTTCCTACCTCCCATTGGACGACAGCTGAGCAGGGATTTTGCAAAATGTATTTCGCAGTCTTCCTACTGCTGTGGCAAAAAGAAGGTTAAATACAAAGCTGAGAGATAATGGACATTGTCCAACGCATGAGGATACCATCAGCCAAGATCTGCACAGCACCTGTGAGGTCAGGCAGAAGGCTGACGGACTAAATACACAGTTAATGTTTTCCTATAACATTGATATTTGGAATTTTATAAGAAAAGACAAAAAAAAAACTTAGCTCTAGAGATAGTGTCAAAGAATGAGATATGCATTTTTGGACAATATCTTAAGGTTTAATATGATAAAACAAGGTATATCATCAGTTTTGGACAAAAGAAATTGTTTTCATAAAGAGAAGCAATATTTTTCAAAATAATTTAAAACTGACTGCCAAAAAAAAAAAAAAAAGAATAGAAACACCTATCATCTAATTACTATAGAGAAGCAATTTTTAAACTTTTCATCTCATGGCAAACATAAACCAATTACTAAAATTCTGTGGCACATCAAAAATATTTTTTTGCCGATCTGACAAAGAGTAGATAGAATTTGATTCATTCACGCTGGGTAGCTATTGTTGTGTTGGCAGTTGTCATTTTTTAAATTGATAATCTAAGGGAAAAGACATCAGTGCCCCTGACTAAATAGGTACTGCATGTTTTAAAAATTCTTGCAACATTCTGGTGGAAACTTGCTGCTATAGAGCAGGGACCCCCAACCCCAAGGCCATGGACTATTACCAGTTAGTGGCCTGTTAGAAACTGGGCCACACAGCAGCAGGTGAGGGGCGGGCTGAAGTGAGCAAGGGTAGTTGAACTTCGCCTCCTGTCTGCCCCACTACACACTTTCCTGGGTCCATGGAAAAATTGTCTTCCAAGAATCAGCTCCCTGGTGCAAAAAGGTTGGGTACCAATGAGTTAGAGCATGGAGGGACCAAGCAAAAAGGAAAAAAGACTCATAGACATGGACAACAGTGTGGTAATTGTGGGAAGGGAGGTTTAAGGGGATGAATGGTAATGGAAAAAATACAATAAAAAATACTGTGCAGAAAAAAAAAAAATGAAGTCACTTCTCTCGTCTGAGGAGAAGCTTGGGGTAGGGAACCCAGGCAGTGACCTCACTACACTGAGCTAGACTGACCAGTGACCTCACTACCTGACAATAGAGCCTAATAGAACTTGCAACCTTGGTAACCAGGCAACCATATTTTAAAACTGCCCCTACCAGGCTCATTTAGCTGGAGACTATGACACCCGACTGGGAACTTTTTCATGTTGTCTGGCCCTGTCCCGAGGGTGGCAGCGGTGATAACATGTTTTGCCATGGCTTCCATTAAATGCGCACTCATCCCAGACACCTGTGGCTATTTTCACAGCGGGACACAGAGGTAGCACAGCCTAGCCCGGGGTAGATTTGTTCAGGCCAGGCCACCCCTCTGATCCCACCTGAGCAGCCTTATGTCCATCCTATTTGTGAGTGTGCATGTGGGTGTGTGTGCATGTGGAAGGGGGTTCATGTGGGAAGGGTGTGCCCGAGTAGTAACAGGCTGAGGCGGGCAGGGACAGCAACCTGGTCGGCAGGTCAAGTTCACACCCCAGATCAAGGCGTGGATTGTGCATGGCATCCTCTGCCTGTGGTTTATCCCGAGCCCTTGAGGTGAATCTCGTTTCTCCTGTGGGGAGGTCTGTGCAGACGTAGGTCTGGGCCAAATCCGGGAGCAGAAGGTCCAAGGGCCAGAGCAGGCCCAAGGTGACTGGGGGTCTGGGGAACGAGGGCTGGAAGGCGGCCAGCGAAGGCCACCGCCACTGAAGTCGCCCGGCCTCCACAGGCAGCTCACCGTTTTCGACTGCAGCCTGGAGCACGGTGCCCTGGCTGAACGCACAGGGCCGGATGACCTGGAGCCCAGGAGGCAGAGCCCAAGGGTGAGAAGGTGGGGGAAGAGAGGGGGGCATGGAAGCGGAGGCACATAGAAGCTTATCGGGAGGGGTCCGTGCCAGACACACAGGGAGCTCCCGCCAGGCTGGCCAGGAGCAAAGACTGGCCTCAGACCACCGTGTGCTGGACTGCCCCGCAGTGGGACGTCCCAGGGTCTGTCCTGGGCTCTGGTTGTGTTCTGTCATTGGAGGGCACATGGAAATGCAGGCGTGTGGGCGATCTTTTCTCCTCTCACATCTCCAGCACGAGCCCAGGATGCAGAGCCGGCTGCCGCTGCAACACCTGTCGTCCATCCCGAGGAGCTCGAGGCAGGGGCAGACCAGGAGGCCGCTCCAGACCTGGAGGGGTGTCCGCCTCCAGCGGCCGTGTCACCTCCAGAGGCTGCTCCAGCTGCCGCTCTGGAGACAAGGCTGGCCCGTGCAGCATCTCCTGACCTGCCTGCAGAGCCCTCCCTCAGACCTGTCCGGTTCCTGCCACAGAGGAGGAGCTGCCTCTGGAAAATGCATCAGGGCCAGCGAGAGCCACCTGTTGAACCTGCTGAATTTGTTTTACCCTCACTCTTTGACTTACTGCTTTTATTTGTTTTCATTGTTGTTTTTCTTTTCTCCATGGAGTGATTCTTTTTTTTTTTAATTTTAATTTTATTATTTGGGGCTCTTTTGGGTTTTTTCTTGTATTCTTTTATATTTTTTATCCTTCATTTTTCCATGGTGTAATTCATTTTAAATAATGAATAAAAGTTATAGTCTGTATTTTAAATTTGTGCCGTTCCTGAGCATGACGTACATTCACGATGCTGTGCAAGCATCACCACCACTGTCTAGTTGCCGGATGCTCCTTCACCCCACACGGAAACCCTGCACCAGAAGTACTCACTGCATACTCCTCCTGTCCCTGGCTACCCTTGATCTGTTTTCAGTCTCTGTTCCTTTACCTATTCAGTAACTAGCCTATCAATGGAATCTTACAATAAGTACCTTTTTGTGACCACTCACGTATTTTGTTTTTATCTGAAAGAGCATTTGGATTATTTCAAGGGGAAATTCCAGATGGATTAGAGTTCATAGGTTAAAAATGAAGTCCTTTTACTAAGTGTGTCGATAATCTTGAGGTAGAGACCTCTGTTAAGTGTGACCCCACATCCAGAAGCCAGTCAGGACTATTCCAAAAATTTTAACAGGAGGGAAAACTCCCAAGCTCATCTTACCATGCTAGCATTATCCTAATACTAAAACCAGATAAAGTCACTACAAAGAAAGAAAATTATAAGCCATTATCCCCGGTGAACATAGATGCAACAATACTCAACAAAATATTAGCAAACCGAATCCATCAATAAATTAAAAAGATCATACACTGTGATGAAGTGAGATTTATTCCTGGGATGCAACGTTGGTACAATATCTGCAAATCAATTAACATGATACAGCATGTAAACAAAATGAAGGATAAAAATTATATGAACATATCAGTAGATGCAGAAAGATCACTTGATGAAATCTATCACCCATTTATAAT